CTCCACCCCCCATGACCCTGGTGAGGATGAAGGTGTAGAGATGATGGATGGATGATCAGCCAATCAGCATGGTGTGGACTCCTCTGGCAGGGAGTTGAATGCAATGGAAATTCATTTCCATGTAAAAGGCCAGTTTTAAGCTTCTCTGAGTGTTTGGGCTGCTGTGGTTCCAAACAGCTGCACAACCAGGATTCAGAGTTCAGCAACCTGGTAGGAGCTGTGTGGGCCTTGATCAGTGATGTATGCAGCGAAAATCCTGATGTTTAGCTGCAGCAAAATATGACTTTGTGCAAACATGCTGAAATTTGCTTCAAAGTGATCCTGATGTGATGAGTTTTACATGAAGGGTGTTCTGGCCAGTGTAAGAATGTGAGCAGATATACTGGCTTCAGTATTCACTTTAAATATTCAGCTCTACGGTCTTAGTCAGGCTGAAAGACTCACGGAGGGATTTAGTCCTACAAGATTTTAGATCTGTTTATTGAAATGCACACGTATGATACACACAGAAGCTACAACTGAAACCAAAACCAATTAGTCATTCATGATTACATAGAAGCACAGCAGATCTAAGACGGGACATTAAAGCGTCTGCAGATAATTCCCCTCAAAGCACAAACTTGAATGTAGTTCGCTGCGTTACATAAATCATTCAGAGCCGAGCTCATAGAAGCAGGATGAAGAGGCACCACGTGCGCTTCCAGCATGTATTATAGTGACACACGTGAAACGAAAATCAATTAACTGTTAGCTCTCATATATGAACTGACATAAAAGCACCTTCCCACTCCTCCTCACCGTCTGTTCATGTGTAACCAGTGTGTGGCGCCCACAGCAGCACGCCGCGGCCTTCACGACTCTGGATGCTCATGAAATCAGTCTTTCTGCAAATAATTCTGTGCCAACAAATAAATGAGTTTCAAACAAGAAGAATTCAGTGTTTCACCACATTTGGTGTCGTCGAAGAGCCTCTACGATATGAATGTAAAATCAAACAGCTTAATGATGAAGTACAACGTAAACATGTCTGTCTTTGCAGATGAGGCTGCCTTTCTATATGTTTGACGTGTTTGGATATAAGCTCCTGTTCTACCGCCTGTTGATTATGTTTATTGAATTAAGGGCATGTTTGCTACCTAAATAACTCATGATAAGTCACACACTTGTTGACATCTAAAAGCCCCACTGCCTCTTTAAACTGACATGAAATGAACAGCTAAGTGTTTTTAGAGCAGGCCCCCAGACTGCTTCTCCTTCATATACACAGCAGTCATCCTTAAGATGAAGCAAACTTTAAACAGAAGCTTTCTGAGGCGCTGGAACTCTGTACACATACACAACAACAGAACGCGTTACACAAGTCTACATTCACAAAGTCAAACTTCCAGTAAGTGCAAAGGAGTGTTTAGGAAGCCCGGGTGGTTGCTGCTGCGCCCGTCGGAGGAGGAAGCTTCCCATGCGGCGTCCTCACAGCGTGTCCTTGCCAGAGTAGCGTCTGCACTTGTCCTGTTGCTCTGCTCAGTGGAGAAGACACTGCAGTGAGACTGTGCTGAACTGAAGAACGTTGGTAGACTGAAGAGAAAGAAGCTGCTTGCAGCAGAAAACCAAACGGCTGCTGGTTTAAAGCTGTCAGCAGAGATCTTTGCAGAGTGACATGTAGGATTACGTCAGCGCTCTCTGCAGAACACTGAGCGGCTGCCTCTGTCAGCTTTATGAAGCATGACTAATCAGTTAAGTCTTTTTTATACCAAGATATTTGAGCTATTTTTTTAGTTCTAGTTGTATGAGGTGTTATATGTTTAAGGAATGAGCTGAAAAGCTGGAGAACAGATATTTTAAAGGTAATTAAAAGCAGCAGATTGACAGTTAAAGACTTTGACTCACAAAATGTGGTTCGAGCTCCACTAGCTGGTTTTTGGGCACTTTGGGGGCAGCAGACACAAGATGCAGGTTGATGTGGTGAACGCATCAGTAAGCATTTACTGATTTATATGTTGTTATTATTATTCATTTAGAGCTGCCTTTATGTCCACGTGATACGTGTGATTCCAATATTCATTCCTTTGTGCTTTGTTCTGATCTTCACCCTCCTGACCTGAAACTGCTGATGCTCCACCTTGTTCCCCTGCTGACACCTAGCTGTTTGTCTGCTGCTTGGTCGTGAGCTGTGGGTTTTTAGGACTTTTTCACTAAAAGCTACGTGTGGCAGCAAAGCTGACGAGAGTCTGACGAGATGAAAACAAAGCAGAAAGCTGCGTGATGCCGTTCTGCAGAGGAAGCTACCATCTGTTGCATTCTGAATACCATTATGAAGACCAAAATGTGGTTTATATTAAAACAGATGAAGACAATGGAGAGGCAAAGCTGTGTGTCCGTTACATGAAGCACAAAGCTGTACAGGAAGACAGATTAGCCTTCACATTGGCTGCATCATGGCTTTCTTACCTAGCAGCACTTGCTCTACTTCTTCGCTCTCCTCTACAGCGACAGGCCTCAGCAGCAGGGCGAAAAACACGGCGATACCGACCACCTGTGAACAGCAAGTCACGGAGAGTCTTTTAAATTAACTGCATTATTCTACCTAAAGCCCAATATCTCATCTTCTCCAGTAACTGGTGTCAAACAAGGCAGGTTTTAGGATAAACGCTAAATGATTTGACTGTTCCCATCTTCACCCACCTTGAGAGGCTGCAGAATGAAGATGCTCTGGAAGAGGGACAGGCCCAGAGACATGACCCACTTGATGGACTTTTCTCTGCCGTACTGAAAACCGTACAACAGGGTGAAGTAAGTGGAGATCCCACTGATGGACAGCAGCAGGAACCAGCCCAGGAACACGCACCACCAGGGCAGCCAGCAGCCCACCGACCTCGTCTTCTTCTTCTTCACAGGAGGCGGGCTGCACCAGGAACAAAGACGGTTCAATAAAAGCAGCAAATCATTCTGGCATTGACTGACATTTTGATGTTGGTGTTGGCCGGACTGCTGACCAGGAGGCCAGGTGGCAGCTGAAGACCATCTCCGCCTTGCGAACCAGCAGGTTGGTGAGGCTGAGGATTTGCTGGTATTCCCCTGGACTCGAGAAGTTCTTGGCATCCAGTTTCTCCAGGCATGTGAGGAGGTGACTGAGGGCAGCCAGGAGGAACTTGCTGCAGTAGACCCAGTGGGGGTCGCTCTCCGTCTCCCCTGTGACAGACGTCCATACAAGTCAGCACTGAATAGCTTCAGCTGTCTGCTTTTGAGAGGACAGGAGCATTTTGTCCAGGCTACACACAGCAGGACGGTGCAGAGGGAGATGATGTGTCTAAAACTAGCAGTACAGAAGTCTGGTGATGCTCTGATTTCTCACCATCGATACCAGAAAGCCACGCTGCGTCTTCTCACTGGGCTGAACATGAGCGCTCTGCTGCTTTAAATAATCACCACGTCTGCCTAAAGAATGCACCCTTAGCTCATGTTTAATCCTTTTTTAAGAAAATCTGCATGTCACAGTTGTTTTAGGGATTAAATTAACCTTTTTAAAATTAAAGTATTTGTGACCCCCTTTTCAAAATTCATCTCTCCGGGAAATAACAGGCGAGCGGCTACAATCTCCAGGCAGGCTGAGGACGCTGCAGAGTGCTGCCTCGCTTCAGGAACGGCATGCGTGGACAAAAACGTCCAGTTGGCCTCTGAATGTGTATTGATCAGGATGTATCTGTGCTCTAACAGGACTAGTTCATGCTTAGTATTAGTCCTAATTTGGCTCCCTGTTTAACTCAAGTCTGTTGTTTTTCAGTTAAAAATGAATAAAATAAAATAAAAGCTACCTTGCATATTCTGGATGAAAGAATGCAGTTTGTCCAGGGCCGGGCACAGGTCAGCCGTGGTCTCCAGTCGCTCCGTGTTCGATATCTTGTTTCTGGGACTCCCACACACTAAAGAAACGACCTCCTCTGTATCCTAGCAGGGAAGACCAGCATGTATGCTATTTAATCAGCTACATGGAAAAGGAAGAGTACCTACATGAGACAGAAGTCACGCTGCATTCTTACAACGGCTGCAGCATTACCTGTGAGGCAGGTACACAAGCACACCTGCTCAGAGGAAGTCACAGTGATGACGTAATGCACAGCGCACCTTGAGAACACTTGGCACGGTAACCGCCGCGGGTCTGATGCTTTCCTCAGAGTCCTCTCTTTTAGCTTTGGAAATGATGCGAGGTCGGATGCTTCGGAAGATGGTGATGATGAGGATGTTGATGGGGAACATGAGGAGGCCGCTCTCCACCCCCACCATGATCTCCTGCCAAGTGATCTTCAGTGAACCTGGACCGATATGAAACAAACAAAGCATCCAAAGACTGGCTGCAGCACGGGACAGTCGCTCCCACCTACAAAACACTGGAGCGGTTTTATATTCGACACTCTGGTCGTAAAACGTTCAACCGCTAACCCTTCTCGGAAGTCTTCCTCTTTTTCATTCATAGTTTTTGAATCATGGTCTTCATCATGGATTTTTTTGGACAAGAATTTACAAAAAATAAACCCTTTCATGCAAAGATTTCTACACAGCAATACCAATGAATTAAAACGTATGATGTATGATGCTTTTTGTGTCACTCTGTGTTTTCTGTCCTTGAACTTCCTCCTGCTGGAGGCTGGACGGTGGCAGTAAGACACAAAGGCCAAAGATTAAAGACCTCCTCTGATGCAAATACATATTTTTAATGCCAGAAGACACACGGTGAGTGAAGTAAGCAGCGGGGGCTTTCTGTATCACTCCTCTTCTTCGGAAATGGTTCAACTCATGGGGCTGAACTCGACCAGCGTCACAGCGTACCAACCATCGTGTAGCAGAGCAGCTTCACATCGTTTGTGCACAGAGTCGTAAGTAGAGCCGGTGTGCTCCAGCTGCACCCAGTAGAGAAGGATGGGTGGAGAGGGAACTACACTGATGTGCACCTTTAAAAGGAGTTTATCTGAGCTGTTCTAAATGTGTAGCTTTGATACACTAAGTTGAGTTTTTAGGGGTTTCATCAATTAATCAATCACTAAAAAAACAGTTCATTGACTCCTGCTCGCTGGTCGTATCTGAATATTTACCATCCATCCTTGTTGCTACAGAACCACTACAGTCCACGTTGTCTTCACTTTCTGCTTCAGGACTCTGCTTCCATATCTCAACACGTTTCCGTTCAGAATGCGGAGGCGTCCACAGATAACCGACAGCTCGTTAACATGCTGATCACGTGTTCTGCTTCAGCTCACATGCTGCCTTCAGCTTTTGACCTTTCAGTCCAGCCTTTGAGATGTAAAGAACCGTACGTCTGTGATATCATATTCCTCATATTTTAACTACCATGTGAGTTTGTGTCGTCGATACTAAACCTCTTAGACATAATGAGCATTCAGTCGTTTTTTGTTCCCTAAAATACAATTATAGCCGACAAGAACACCGATAGCATTTAAATTCTGAGTAGTTTTCTGATTCCAATGAACCTTTGAAGGTAACGGGTCTATTAAATTAAAGTTGAACTCATAAACTGTGTAATCACCTAATGAGAAGAGCACTGGTGAGCTGGCGTCTACGGGAATGTTCCAGAAGGCGATGTTGATGGCCATGGTGCAGAGGAGGAGGCTCATGCAGCAGGAAACCCTCTGGGCTCGAGTGAACGGACTGCGTGAAGGAGGATCCACGATGGACACCCAGATGTGTTCATCCCTGAAACCAGTGGAAGTTCTGCTCTGGAAGATGTTCCTGACAGAGGAAAAGCAGACAGCAGCCAGTTAACAGTCAGGAGCTGCCAAGGTTGATTTCAGAAGAGGGCGGCGTCTCTGACCTGAAGCTGGCAATCTCGTTGTTCTTTGCAGCATTGAAGGTTTTCTTGGTCACGGCCTCTCCTCGCTCAGTGCTCAGCCAGCAGCCGCAGAAGAAGTGGTACACATGTCGTGTTTGGAGGTCTTGAACGGTCACCTTGTTTATGTACCTGTTGATGAAACAAACAAACAGAAACACTGCACGTTTACCACATGAGGAGTTTCATGGGTGGAAAACAGATGTTAGTTCATCTTTTAGTAACACAAGGAAGCAGCAAACTGTTCAAAATGTAAAAGCCTCTACATCCACATTATGTATGTGATGCTTTGATGTTTTCATTTATCTGTACAGAGAGACTTCCAGTGTTGGAGGAAAAATCAAGATAGAAGATAGAATCAGCCTTTGAAGCTGCATTGGTCATAGTGTCTTACTGAAGCTGCAGTCGCCCAAAGCCTTTTATGCAATTTAAATCTTATTTCTATATCATAGTACAGCGTATACGTATCCTCCCGCGTGCCGCGTGCTCAGAGCAGGATGAGGAAAGAGCTAACAAGGTTGTGCTACATGATGAGGCAGACCTGACGTTTCCAGAAGCAGACAAGAAAGGCACCAAACGTAGCAGCATGCAGCCCAGCAGCCCTGCTCACAGGCTCACAGCGACACCTGCCAGGTAGACACGTGTCCACCAATCCAAGCACAACAACGTACAATGTGGAAGAAACACTTCAAAATGACACAAAACTAGACGTATGCCAGCTTTAAATAGCTGCCGTGGACAGCTGTGGGAAGCTGTATACGTTAGAGAAGGATGGAGAGGAACCCTGTTGGAGCTGAAGGCATCGTTTGCTAATGAAATGTTCTCAGGCTCTACAGCACCATGACGGGTGACCTCCAGAGTTGTCGTGCTGCAGCCTGAGGTTTCGCACTTCTCCCAGTGGGAAGGGCGTGGCCAACACAAACATATCGACCGACCCCCGCTCAAACACAGGCTTCTCAGGATCCGTCAGGTTGTGTATGGTGCTCTCTCCCTCTGCGCCAATCAGCTTCACTGTGACCTGCAGGTTAGGGTTAGGGTTAGACACTGGACCACGACACTGGTTCTGTTTGTCTGCTTGACACAGCAACTTTGTAGTTTTCTAGAACACAACATAGATTTAAAACCCTTTCCAACCTGGTTTCTATTGATTTTGTTGTGTTTTAAAATGACCCAACCCAACGGCCCTCTGATTGGATGAGGCGTCGAGTAAAGATTTTATAATAATCCAGAATGGAAGTGACACAGTCAGGAAAGGGATGATTCTGTTTTTCTGTGAGCAAGTTCAATTGTAACTGTTCTTTAAAGAAATCCTAACTATGTCCAGGAGAGAAGACTCTTACGTTAGCAGAGGTCCCTGCGCCCTTGCGATGCCCGGTTTGGACACCGACCAGGTAGTTGTACTGAGCAGCAGCGTGATTGTCCTCCAGCAGCGTCATCTTCCTCTGACAGTTCAACACATTGTGGTGCATGAGTACAGTGCATGAATCATTTATTCTCCAAAGTTTCTACTATTCATAAAGGACATGAGATGGTACATTCTGGCTCAGTTTTGGTATGTTTCCACTCATACCTACATCAAAACAGCACACTGGCTTAAAACCTCATACGAATGCTCTCATGTGAGGCCTGTCAGCATGGACTGACCTTAGAGCGCGCCCTGCGGTCAGCGTAGCAGGCCCACAGCAGAGTGACCAGGTAGAGGCCGAAGAAAGCACACAGCAGCGCCAGGACCACGAAGTTCTCATTCACAGTGGCAAACAGCTCGGCTGTGCGAGATATGTCTACGTAGTTTGGCATCACGAAGAAGGAGCTCCCAAACAGAGTGAGGTGGTTGCACAGACACTGCGTCTGGTCTGGGGTGCTTTTGTCTCCGACCTGAGACGGAAACAGGACATCACACGCTGGTATGAAACCACTGCTGCAACGAGAACTCTGGTGAAGATGCAGAGCAAAGAGATGCAGCCACATAATGCAGCTGTATCCTGGCCTAAGCCTACCTTGCAGCCGTCAGTGCTCCATGTCTCTTTGGTTACGTTCCAGTACAAACACTTGCTCATAAAAGAAGTGATCATCAGTGTCAAACCAGGCTCCCACGTGGAATTGTAGAGTCTGGCGTCAACATACCAGGTCCCGGCAGTGTGACGCAACATCTCTGGGGTTATCATGAAGCGGTAGCCTCCTGAGGCAACAATTTGCAAATATACTCATTTATACTCCAAGAACCAGCCCAGTAGATGTAAACTCAACCAGAAAAAGTGGCAGGAATCGCTCAGGTCTCGATAGGCTGGCAGTTACCTTTCCGGTTCAAGATGGCCACGTTGCTGGCATTAGGAGAGGCAGGAGGTGATCCGTGAGCCAAGGTCAGAGCCAGCGACACATCGATGCTGGGCACCACACTGAGGACCACGGTCATGTACGGGTCTGTGATGTTGAGCTGAGTCACCGATGTGGTGTCCTTCTCCAACACAACGGTGCTGTTTAACAGCGCTGAAGCGTTTGGACGAGGCAGGAAGATCTGCAGGGAAAAGCAAACCACGGACATGAGCTGCAGCTGGTAAACAACAAGCGCTAAACGTGGATGACATGAATCACAGGCTGTAGTTCTGTGACGGTAAATCGACTACAGTGACCAACGACAGGCAGTTTTTAATGAAAAGGGTTATAAAAGGAAGAAAAGATATTCAGGTGTACAAATAATCAAATAGTGGAGCAGTTAGTTTGGAAAAGCACTTATTCATGACATTAAATCACATCTTTCAGTCTTGACGCTGTGTGAGCAGGAACACTGTTTTGTAGTAGATAGTTTATAAAAGTTGGTATTTGTGTTGTTTGTTTTCCTCTGGACAGCAGCCTGTAGAACATGTGGGCTGTTTTTTATGTAAATCACAATAATGGACCAACATATGTTCTTCTTTACTGTGGTTGTGCATTTATTGGCTGTGGACAGTTTCTGTGGTGCCGGTGCCTTTCAGCACCAACTCCACCGCTGATGGAGCTGTATGTGTCTTAATAATGTCGTTTCAAGGCTTTTCTCACGTCACTGTCCAGAGGAAGGTTCATTTTCTGTGCAGGCACTCCTACTGGGTTTTTTCTGTTTTTTAATTTCACAGCGTCAAACCGGCGCTGACCAGGAGGCACCACACGGTTGAACTGCCTGGAGAAAGTGCCACTTAGAGTAAATAGCACTGCTGACCCTAACCCTGACCCACTTTTCATGTTTACTGTACCTCAAACATCTCTGACAAGTTTTGGATCTTCAGGTCTGACTTTCCATTGCTGAGCATCAGGCTGCAGACAGTTCCTGATATGTTTTCATCAGACGGATGAGGGTTCACCGAGAACGTAGCAAACTGAAAAGGAGAAGAGCGTTCTTCAAAAGGTTGGAAGGAAAGGAAGCAGACACTGGTGGTGATGACGACAGTAGCTCACAGACCTGAGTGGTGATGGGTTGCGATATTCCAAGATGTGAAAGCACCGCGTCAAGCGAAGGCAGCTTCACGTGACCCTGTTTCTCTGAACCTAGCACTTGGTTGCTGAGTTCATCTGGTTTGAAGCTGATTGGAGGGAAAAGCTGATTTGTATTCAACAGGTTTCAAAGATAAGACAAGTCATATTCTGAAACAAAAACACCAACCTGTTCTGATAAATGGTGCCTGTTGGGTGCTGGAAAACGGTCTCTGTTGAACCCATCAGGACAGAAATGACCCGATAAATCTCAAAGATATCCTCAAACAAAGACTGGAGAGGACAAACGCAGCATCTGAGCTTGATATTGATAACAGCCACATGTGGTGTGTGTGTGATGCTCGAGGTTATTTAGGTAGGTGGACCTACCTCAGGGTTCGGGTTGGTATCAACATCGCACTTTGTCATTGAGAGGAGCAGGATTGCAGAGCTGCAGTTGTAAATATGGAGGATGGTGTCATTGTGTTGTAAAGCAAACTGTGGAGTCAGGGCTTGAGTGCCTGCCAACAAATGCTGAATAAATTTGTCCTGTGAGAAGGAGAAGCAGACAAAATGTAACGTGGCACGACGTACGGAGGCTGTAAAACACACAGAACAATGCAGCAACTTTGAAATAGCTTCCAGAATAAAGGTCCAGACCCTGTTGTTGTTTGTTGGCTCTCCAGGAGTGGTTTCCATCCGCAGCAGCTCTTTGTCTGCTTCCTGTCTCAGAAAACAGCACTTACGATTACCAAAAGGTCATTTTCTGTTCAGTTCTCATTATTCATGAGTCAAGAGGCTGCATGCAAAGTGAATGAGACTTCTCTCACCTCGAGGAGCTTGTCGATGTCGGAGATGTGCAGAGCCATGTCGTTCACATCCCTTTTGAGCCCTGAAATCAAGGCGTGTTTGAAAAGTGGAAAAAGAAAGAGAGAAGAAAGACAAACTCACTTTAGTTTCCGTTGCTGAATGCAGAGACAGAATATGTTTCAGTCGAACTTACGAGATCTGGTTGCATGACTGGACACGACTGAACTCTGTGAAGAAAACATATGCAAATTAGGTGTGAACGTTGACGTGGCTTCTGGCTGGCTGAAGATGTGACATGGAGCTCTCACCGCTGTGCTTGGTGCAGGTCGGCGAACTGCAAAACAAAAAGGACACTTTTAACGAACAGTATATTGAATGCAAGGTGAAATATAAAAATAAAATGGATCAGCTGTATGATTTAAAGAGGAAAGAAGACATGCAGGAGGGAAAGAGCAGCTGCAGCGTTACAGGCGTGATGAGGACGTACTGTGGGTGCAGAGGAAGCCTCGCCTCTGGCTGCAGTCAGATGCTGTGAGCTGAAGAGGATTCAGCTTCAAGTATGTGCACAGACCATTTGAGACATCATTTTCTGTCAAGTAAAGATGAAGTGTGTACACGAGTGAAGTCCATTTCCTGAAACATTTCAAGCCTACTGTGGACAGTAACAGTTAGTGGCACATGTCAGCAGATCAAACGATAATAAAAGTTCTCCAGAACCTCTGTGTAATGCTGACATCGCTGGTTTTGTCTAAATGTTCATCTCCTGGATGTTGGAAGAACATGTTTAACAATTTGTGCCTGATTAATGCTTCATTGCCTAATTATTAATGAACAATTTTGTCTTATTTTGCTACATAAAAAACATGTATATCCTCCAAGGGAAAGTATTCAAAAATATTTAAATTCACTTTGAGCTCACATCACAAAAATTCAAATGAAACGCAACTGGCTGCACAAGAAAGCAACGAAGCTCCCTGTTAATGAAGTCATTCTGTGGTCCTGGGACTCTAATGTGTGCTTTTCTCTTCTCACTGAATAACTTCAGCAACAAGGCCTCTACTGATGGACCAAATCAAACAGCTCTGCATGCAGAGCCCAGAGCAGGGTGTTAAACAGACTTTTCTTGACTTTCAGGATCAATGAACTGCAAAAGAAAAGAAAATGGAGCAACAAAACAAGCATCACTCACTTGTGCTGGGTTCCTGGCCATCCCCTCTGAATCCTTCTCCGAGCCACCAAGTGAGGTTTCCAGTGTCTCTCTCTCTGCTGATGTCGTTCAGGAAGGTTCTGACGGGGCTGTTGATCAGCTTCAGGAGCTCGCCTCCTCGCTTCTCACAGCTGCTTCTGGCCTCAGACCAACTGGAGGATTCCTTCACGAAGTCAAAACAAGCATTTTTGAAAACAAACTCACACCCGTTTGTACAGGCCTCAGACTTTTCAGGTGTGAATAGAAATCCAGCTGAAATCCACAAAAAGAGGGTTCTGAGCATCACTGCCATTGTTTCCGGAGCACACAGAGCCACAGCAGCGAGTGCTGCAGGGACGCCGGCTGCAACAACAAGTGAGAAGGACACTTGGATCCGTCACATGGAAATGAGAGAGCTTTCTCCAGAAAAACTCTGCATATGTTCCCAGGGCATTAGGTAAATCACTGGAGACACACAAACAAGATGCAAAGTGAAGGAATCGTGTTCTCAGTGAAGATCACACAAGGTGAAAGCACAAGTTCAACTTTTATTAGTGGGTCACATGAAGACTTCACCTCCATCATGTCTGTGTGTTCATCACATTCACTTCTCTACAAATAAACACACTGCGATCAACCTGCAGCACTCTGCTCACTGTCTGCAGTGATGGAGCTGAGTCAACAGCCAGCCTTACTCCTCCACCAACCAAACCCCGAACGGAAATATCGCGAGAGGATGAGCAGGAAGCTGCGACAGCGTGTGTTTGTGTAACGCGTTAGGGAAGGCGTCCGGTGCCCTTTAGTGCAATGACAAGACTGCGTCCATGGCGGGACGACTGAAGGTAATTTCCACGCAAACTTTGATTTTCTGTTCTGAGGAATGACGCGTTTTAACGGCGCCGCTCGCGAGCTTCGCTCCGCGTGACGGTGACAGCAGGACTCCGTGCAGAGAGCCCGCGTGCCACCGGGACACACGGCAGAGCTCAGAGCTTCAGGTGTGTGCGGCTCGGTGGACGTGTGAGCTTCTCCAAGCAGTTCTGGGGATCACAGTGACTGAACCGTGGCGTCCTCTCCATAGGGGGAGGCTTCCTGTCCTGCCTGATGTCACTGTTACACTGGGGTCCAGAACGGGTCCAGTTAAAGCTGAACATCAGTCCACGGGTCCATAATGGTGTCTCCCCAGTGACCCACAAAGCTGAACATCCATGCTGCCACCTGCTCCTGTGGTACAGTAAAGTACCTTCACCCCGGCTGCAGAGAGGCCACGTGACTGTGTGAAGGTCATCAGACCACCGTCAGGTTCTGTTTGACCATGAGTCTGATGCCAGGAGAAAAATAAGACCCAATTGTTTTAAGCAAGAAAAGCAACCACATGCTGCTGCTGCTGACACGAAAGAACACAGCAACCCTGGGTCAGGGTTAGTCCTGGACCCCTGCAGGAACCCTGGGTCAGGGTTAGTCCTGGACCCCTGCAGGAACCCTGGGTCAGGGTTAGTCCTGGACCCCTGCAGGAACCCTGGGTTAGGTTTAGTCCTGGACCCCTACAGGAGGCGGGATTAGTCCTGGACTCCTGCAGGAGGCTGGGTTAGGTTTAGTCCTGGACCCCTGCAGGAGGCGGGATTAGTCCTGGACCCCTGCAGGAACCCTGGGTTAGGTTTAGTCTTGGACCCCTACAGGAGGCGGGATTAGTCCTGGACCCCTGCAGGAGGCTGGGTTAGGTTTAGTCCTGGACCCCTACAGGAGGCGGGATTAGTCCTGGACCCCTGCAGGAGGCTGGGTTCGGGTTAGCGGTGGGCGGTGGATGAATATTTGGATCTCTAAATTGCTATGCGGACACAGACACCACCACAACGACAATATATTATATATTATAATATTCAGATCTCCGGGTCCAGCCCAACTGTGTCGGTCGATGCACTGCATTCGCCTCCTCCTCGGTCGCCGCCGTGCTTCTAGCTCCATGTGCATTAGACCAAAACAACGGCACTGCGGGTTGCATTCAGATTTTATCGTGATGTTTAATTTTATATCATCCCCTAACATACTAGCGTGCACGGTATGACAAAGCCCAGCCCTGGCCCCAACACCTGAGGGCTGCACCACCAAGCAAGTTTGACATAGCCGGGCTTTCTTTGTGTAGCCGAAACGACAAAACTGAAAGCCCCAGCCAGAGATTACAGGTATCACGAAGGTGGTTCAACTTTCTTTGTCAACTCAGACTTCCTGCTTCAGACACAGATCAGAACCAAACATAAAAACATGTTTATGGGATTTCTGCATCACCAACTTAAACGTGATATTTACAGTATAGGGCTGGACCTGAACATCCAAATATCCGAATACTCGGTCGTTGTGGTGGTATATGATATATCTTTGCCCGCAACCTGCCCCAGCCTCCACACCCCCCACCGCCACCCGATGGGGGCAACAGAACTGTGACTGCCAACCTAAACTGGCATCAGCAGCCAAGTGCTGCCTGTGCAGAGCGCTCCGTCTCCGTCTCCACCGACTGTGTGATGCTGTAGCTCCACGGCTTCATTCAGTGATATTAGTGACACACAGCTCAGCATGTTAGCAGATAAACACATTCCCTCAGCTGAGAGTCTGGATCGCTCATAAATAACAGTCAGGAAACCGTCTGCTTAAAGGGAGACGCTCTGGAACTCTGAACAGAACCTGGACCGGGTTAGCTCCACAGCATCAGTTACCATGGAGACCTAGCTCCACAGCATCAGTTACCATGGAGACCTAGCTCCACAGCATCAGTTACCATGGAGACTCGCCAGGTTAAAAGAGAGCCACCTTGGTGACACTGAGAACTCTGGCTTTAAGCTCCACATACCTCGCTAACCCACTGATCTGGCTTCGTAGTGCAGCCCTCTGGATAAGACATTTGATGTTGATTTTTTCTATTCATATGATAGTTATATGGATTTTCCCAAAGAAGCTGCTCCTCTTCCTCGTTCAGATGACACAGCTACAGCAGCGCTGCTATCAGGGGGCACTGGACTGTGATTTTATGCGACGTGTAGTTTTTTTGTATTGTTCCACTCTGTGGAGTCAGCTCCACGTTTACGTTTCCACAAAGTCTTCTTTGAGCAGGACTTTTCAGATAGACCTTCTCCATGGCAGACATTTGAAGCTGTCCAAGCCAGGAAGCCACAAGGGGATTGGTTTAGTTGGTGATGCTCGTCTGTCTTGGATGTGCCTTCTTGCCCCTGCAGTCATTCCTGTGTGTGTCACCACAACTCTTTATCGTATCAGCTATTATTCACCACTGTATGCAGACACAGGTCCACTCAAACATGTTGGATGCTTTCATTCCACTAGCTGACATCGTATTTGTGCTCTTGTCAACAGAAACAGTTGAAAGAAGCCATAAAGATCATCAGCTCAGGCAGCCTTCTGTTTGCTTCCTACCTCACTGTGGTTGGGGATGAGCGTTTCTATGCCAACCGGCTGATGCCCCTGCTGCAGAGGATTGTGGGGGCGGAGACGGCACACGTGTTGGCAGTGAAGATGATCGGTCTGGGTCTGGTTCCTCTGAACCGGTACCAGGACCCCGCGTCCTTGGTAAGCGTGTGGCCGTACCGCCTCCTCAGTGGACTGGACTCTCTGCGAAGGATACCAGACGTCATTCTGTTCGTTGTTCTGTCTCTACAGGAAGTGAATGTCCTCGGGTTAAAGTTCAAGAACCCTGTTGGGATTGCGGCAGGCTTCGACAAGCACGGGGAGGCGGTGGACGGCTTGTACAAACTGGGCTTCGGCTTCGTTGAGGTGGGAACAATCACTCCCAAACCTCAAGAGGGGAACCCCAAACCTCGCGTGTTTCGACTCACGGCGGATCATGCCATCATTAACAGGTGTGTTTGAGAGAGGCTGCACTGTGGGCAGGACTAAAGAAATAAAATAAATGATGCTAATGCAGTCCAGCCTGGATGTTTGGTTTTCCGTCACTGAGCTGTACTGAGGTCTGTTTACGGGGCTGCTGCAGGTGTATGCAACCTGCTGGAAGCTGCTTTAATGATGTTTACGTGTTTCCTTGTGTCATTTTTAATGTTCTATTGTTACAACTAAACTTCATCATCTCATAGTTGAACGGAGAAACGTGTCACCTGTAAGCTCAACATTTTCCTTAAACTGGAGCATATAGATGCAGCAAACGGAGACAGTAGAAGACTCTCATCATTCTGAATTTATGTTAAAAACTTTAGAGACAGAGTGCAGGACGCTGTAAGGACAGTGTTCTTTCTGTATTTCATACAGGTTGACTACAGGCTTCATTTACAAAGCTGGAAAAAAGAATTCACAGGTTCATTAAATTGTCTTTGAAGCAGTAATTTTGAAAGCAGCTTTGATGGACCACTTTGTTTCTCTCTCTTATTATATGCAGGATTGGTCATTTATGCTAATTTATGCTAATTTGCTGTCTTGAGTAGTCGTCACAGACGGTCGACCTGTGAAACACTAACGCTGCCAACAACTGCTGAACAGCCTGATCTGAATTAATTCTTATTTCAGAATTGTTGAGTCATGTTTTAGTGTTTGGTGCACTCGACCAGGCTTTTTCTGGTGTTACTCAGGTTTGAAGCCGATGTCCTCTCCAGAGGCAGCGCTGCGCTCACTGATCTGTGTGTAGATGCACACACCGTGTACCTGTTGACATCCTGTATATGCAGAGACGTAAAACACAAACAGCACAGCAGAGCTGCCACACTGAAAACCACATGATGAACTAACAGGTAGTTTCTTGTTCTAATTAGAGGGTACAAAGTGTTTAACACAGAAAGTCTCATTATAATGCTGTGTTTTCTAACGAGGACCAGTTGAAACTGGTCCGGATATAATGCTCAGACTACCGCCGATGATTTCTAATGAGAACTCATCCAAAGTTCAAAGCAAGCCAGGACCTCAGAAACTGCACCGATGGCTTCAAATGCAGACACAACGATGAACCCTGAATGTGGTCTTTGTTACTGATGTGAGTCTGCATGAAAGCTGACATCCACCTTCTCATTGTGTCAGAAACGCAGTCGTGAGCCTTCAGCTTTATAGCTGCACTGTCCTTTCTTTCAAAGGTGTTTTTTCGGTGCTCTCTCTCTGTCAGATATGGATTCAACAGCTGTGGTTTGGAAGAAGTGCAGAAGAGGCTGAAGGCCAGAGAAGAAACTCAGCAAGAGCAACGGAAAGGTCAGCAGGTCTTCATTACATTCGGTGAATAACAGGTGAGAACATGCAGAGCGCAGCGTGTTCAGAAGAAAGCTGACATATTTTATTCTCGTGGTATTCGGCTGTGACGGGGAAGCCCGGCAGTAATTTGTAAAGTCAGTTAAACACACGTTTCCACTGTCCTGTTTTTGTTCTATCTGAATGATCTTGACCCGTCCTCGCCTCACGTTTTATTGTCTGCAGCTCGTTGAGCAGCAGCAGCTGAGTCATGTGATGATGATGATGATGATGATGATGATGATGCAGATGCAGCCTGTGCTGGTGTTTATCGCAGCTTTCCCACTTGTGTGTGCGTGCGTGTCTGTGTTTATAGCTGGCCTTCCCCTGGGCATCAACCTGGGGAAGAACAAGCTGTCCCAGGACGCAGGGCCAGATTACCTGGAGGGGGTGAGAGTGCTGGGCCCCCTGGCTGACTATCTGGTGGTCAACGTCAGCAGTCCCAACACTCCGGGTCTTCGGGATCTCCAAGGGAAGGCTGAGCTCCGCCAGCTCCTGCATACAGTAAGAACGTTTGTCATGTCACTGGGCACAAGGCAGCAGCTCTGCATTGGGCCACAAAAATAATTTAACTCATTTAATTTAAATGTATTTGTAAAGCACAGTTGAGAACAACTAATAAGACATAATGACTGAAAGATAAATAAAAGAAATGACGTCAGCATGTCAAGCTCGACTTGTTTTGAACGCCAGAGAGACAAAGTGGGTCTTCAGCAGATACCTGAAACCTTCTAGAGTTCTTCCATGGAGAGCTGATGAGCAGCCGCTGCAACGTCTCCATCGTCTCTGTTTTTGTCCTTCAATCCCGGAGAATCCACGAGCATCTGGCTGGCCAGTCAGTTCTCTAACAGGGCTAAGAGTTCTGCTAAATAACGTGGTGCCGACCTATTTAAAACCTTACAGACTGACAATAGCATCAGAACATCAGTCCAGTGCAGCGAGGGCAGCCTGCTGACGTGATGGTGTTTCTGTAATCAGATGAGCGGCTGCAGACCCGCCAACATACAAAGAGCTCTACCAGTCGCTGAATGAATCAACGTGTCCAAGCCTCTGAGGCGTCGTCAGGCCTTCACCTCGGCTGACAGTCTCCACTGAAAAGCTTTTGATTTGTCAGCTCTGAATGAGAAAGATTTTTTCCATGAAGGGTTGATTGTATGAAGTCATTTAAATTAGAAGTGAAAGCAGGTCGTCATCATGTACAGACGACAGTAAGCATTCCCCAGTGTGACACAGTGCAGGGAGAAGCTTTTAATGGACATCATCAGTGCAGCCACTTTGCTGTCTCACATGTAAAACATCTGACAGTTTCTTTTGATTGACATGAAGTCAGCGATGAGTGACTGAACCGTTTGTCGATGCAGCTCTGTCCCACGCCGTAAAACTCACTGCAAGCCACATTTCTTCTCCTTTCCTCTCATGTAATCGAGTAATTCTGCACTTTAAGCTGCAACGCAATCCGTAAAATAGTCTCATCACTGCATCTTAAATCAGCAAGCAAGACCTCAATTATTCTCCTGGTTCCCTTTAACTAGCGAATACAGAAGCAGCTGTGAGAGGGTGCAGCAGCTGCTGCTAAGCTAGTACCAGCCTGACCATGAGAGAAAACAGGAGTCACTGTCGCTGCTGTCCGTGTTCACCAGAACAGAGAGGAATGACAAGCATGTGGCTAAACATTTACCTACATGCAAAGTAAGATCTAGCTTTATTTTTGAAAACGGACGAGCCAGCTCAGCCAATTCTCCGGACCTGTAACAGTGCAACAGGTTCTCCTTCAGCTGATGTTTACTGCGTTGTGCATCTTTCATGTATTGTGCCAGTAGTTGCTCAGTTGCAGAGAATAGTTATTGGTTCCATTTCCTCTCTGCTGTTCTTACTTTGTGCAGCTGCAGCACAGCCCCCCAGTGAAGAGCAAAGGCTGTTGTTCCCTCGCAGCAAGAGGAAGAATGAGTCAAGGACAGGCTTGAATGAAGGTCACAGAGCAGTGACAGCGTATGTGAGGTGAAGGTAGCGATGCAGGGGGCAATAGAACCAGAGGTAGATTCAGATTGGATGAAGTGCTCTCCAGCCCCATCCCTCCCCATGGTAGCGTTTTAAAGCATTTTTAAAACTTTATTTGAATGTTATGCTCTTAAACATGCTGTTCAGTTGTTCTGTATTTTCGCTGTTGTTTCCAACGTCCTTCAGTTCAAATCATTTCACATGCTGAATCCATTCCAAGGCTTTAAACTCTCCAGGACAGGTGTACCTGTCTCCTCCTCTCACCTGAGGATGATGTTATAATCATTGTTGCTACCCTCTGTTTTTATAGCACCTCTCAGAAACACAGTAACAGAAATCCGATGTGCTCAGGTGCTGAAGGAGCGCGATGCCCTGCAGGAAAAACACAAACCTCCGGTCCTGGTGAAGATCGCTCCGGACCTCTCTACCCAGGACAAGCAAGACATCGCAGACGTTGTCAACGAGGTTGGAAGTTGATTGTTGTATACAGCCGTGACTCCATAATCCGACCCTTAACAATTCCAGAACCTGCTATCCAACAAGTTTCTAGGAAAAACCAACAGAACCCATAAAAACAGCCTTAACATAGCGACAGCCTTGGATTGTGACTCCGACATGACATTTAATGTCACCAATCAGGATGACGGCGTATTATCTGACTGAACAATCCCACAGATTGGCTACGTTCACACTGCAGGACTTGATGCTCAATGAGGATTTCTTTGTGACTTCCTTCACGTTTCCACTTCAATGCGACTTGTATGTGATCTGCTGTGTGAACTTCATACGAGCCAAAAGTGTCCCGCATGCGCAGAAGAGGACACGACGACGTCACACGCAGCGAGCGTGCTCAGTGTTTATGGAAGTAAACATGGATGGTAACGGTGGAGCGTATCTGCCACTCCCCCGCCGCCACCGATGGAGGAAACAGAAGTGTGAGCGCTAACTAAACTAGCATCAGCAGCCAAGTACTGCCTGTGTGTTCTGGACACTTCCACCCCGTCAGAGCGCTGCCCCGGGGTGGAAGTGTCCCCCGACCGCACAGAATGTTCTGATATTCATCATTAATTGGGCCTGAACATCCAGAGAGCAGAAAGTTCTATTGGGACCAGCCCTACTAGTTATTATAACAACTATGAACAATAATGAACAACTAATGAGCCTTCCAGCATCAAGCCCTCCTCGTATCTGGACCTCCGTCTGGACAATCCGACAGCCTTGCTATCCGACATAGAAGAAGGTTTTACATTTAGTGTCGGATTATCGAGTCACGACTGTGTTTACTTTCCAATTCCAATGTTCATTTTATTGGGTTTTGTTTGGCAGTTGATAATTTGATGGTGATTATTATTATTATTATTATTATTATTATTATTATTATTATTATTATTATTATATATGGCCAATGGAAGATGTGTGCAGGTTTAATCTGATTCACAAGAAAAAATGTACACAGAACCAGGGAGAAAAACATGCAAACCTTTCACATCCTGCTCTGACGTGACGGCGCTCATAACCCGAGACGACCACGTCACATGTTCTCATGCAAACTGAACACACCCTGAGGAAGAGTGCAGACACTCCCTCATCTACGAAGGAAGAAATGTGACTCTAAAAAACAAGTCAACTTTAGCATAACTAAAAAAAACTCCCTATTGCTGATACCTTTAAATATACAGCATCTTTCAAAATAAAAGTACAGAATGCTTGACAAGGCAAAAAAAAAAAGTCAATATTTCAGCACTAAATGCAATCAGCACCACAAAAGTACCGACAGAAGTGAAATGATGTACTGAACTGACATTGAAATAGATTAAAAATGCAAGTTAAACAAAACAAATGTGACGGTAGAAATGCAGTTGTCATTATTAAATATATTTTTATAAGGTTTGTTTTTATTTTTCTGAAGACGTCACAGAATCTGCAAACCTGAGATCCTGAAGCAAAGCTGCTGTTGGCTTTTTATTTAAATATAGCGCAGCTGTAGTTGCATCTTTAAGTTCCTTTTTTGCTACTGCAGGTTTCTAAGTTTGCATTTTATTTTAAGCAGCAATCTAAGTAAAGGTTTAAATCATTTGAGAGCCTGGGTTTGGATTTCCTCCCTGATGATCTCAACTACAAGCAGCGTCCCTCCTTTAATGCCTCAGCTGCCTGTTTTTGCTGATAAGTGACGGACCTCCAGCATCAGGAGAACACAGTTTAACCAGAACTGCTGGGCTCTCCTCTTCCTGTCTGCTCTGGCAGCTGCATCACTACTCCAGTCGGTTCTAGTGCTCATTGGAGCGGAGAGGAGACGCACCTTAATGGAAGGGAAAGCAAATATGTTAGCAGCACTCTTTGTCACAGTGCACTGCACATGGAGGCCTGTGAAAGTCAGAGGGCCTTTCCTCATAGTCACCTTCATACTTGAGTTCCTGGAGATGCAGCTACGTGCCACTTACTGTCTGTCCTCGCTGCTTTTATGTCCTGCCTGCCTGCAGCTGGGAGTGGATGGTTTAATGGTGTCTAACACCACTGTGTCCCGGCCAGAGAGGCTTCAGGACCCTCAGAAGTGTGAGGGCGGTGGGCTGAGTGGAGAGCCTCTCAAAGACCTGTCGACCAGCACTGTCAGGGAGATGTACGGCCTCACTGCAGGTACTCGTCTAAATGGCTCATGCTTCGGTTCATTTCTGATTCCCTCCCATCACTCACAAGACCAGGGGATGTATGTTCACGTTCTGCAGGTAGAGTTCCAATCATTGGCATTGGAGGTGTGGCCAGCGGACAGGATGCGATGGATAAGATCCGTGCCGGTGCTTCGTTGGTCCAGCTCTACACGGCTCTGACCTATCAGGGTCCGCCTGTAGTGACGAAGATAAAGCGAGAACTGGAACAGCTGCTGAGGTGAGTCTGAGTGTGCATGGAAGCTACCGACAAGGGAAAAGTCACAAAGTCGCAGCTGACTCTGACCGTCAGCGTGTGAGCCCCAAGCAGCCTCTTCACTTCTTCTTTCCTGCTGTCACATTTTTACCCACCGTGGCCTCAGCTTTAGTCAACATGAAGTCCTGCGTCTCAGTGAAGGCAGCGCGCCCACAGCTAGCAGCAGGAGGCCATGAAGATGCCTTTTGTGCATCATCAGACTGTAGACAGTCTACTGCTGCTATAGAATCTGTAGTCTGCTGAGTCACTGTCTATAGCAGAGACAGTGACTCAGCAGACTACAGACAGTCTACGACTTACATGTTTAATTTTGTTTTCATACTGGTTCCTTGCAGTTCAGGCTAGTTCAGCCAAAAAGTGTTTTTTGGGGGCAGGAGTAGATTTTTTTTAACATAATCTTCTTTGCAGAAATGATTTCTAGATGTAGAATAAAGTGACTTTAATCAAAAGCTGAGGTTTGGTTTATTTTCCTGACTGAAAAGCACGTCACGGATGAACAGGTCAAGGCCGTCGATACGTTCAACATCACACAGTTCTGTGTCTTCAGTTCCTGCCTCTGGATTTTGTTGAAATTTATTTTATTTTATTTTTTTTAAAAGTAACAAACCTGCTGTCAAGTATTAAAATATAGTTCTGGTTTATCACACATTTGATCGTCCTTTAATAAGTTCGGCCTGATGAACTGTAAAATGATGAACACAGCTAACTTCAGGTCATGTGACTCGGGGGTTCCTGTGTGGCTGAAGCTGCTCATGCACTCGTATCCACAGTCACACACGGCAGCAGTGCTCGTCCATGTCGTGTGACAGTTGTGCAAATATTGAATGCGGCTGTAATTTCCTGCTCTGTGTGTTTGCACAGAGAACAAGGCTTCAGCAGTGTGTCTGACGCCGTCGGCGCCGATCACAGGGGAGCAGACGGCTCAACTGGTGAGAAGATGTGAGAGATGGTGAACGTTCACACAGACGCTGGCGGCCGAGCTGCATCTGTAGCGCCGTCTCCTCCAACAAGACAACGTGAGCGTCGGCGTTTCCCAAACTCTGGTGGATGCAGAGTGTTTGTGACGGTCCGTCTTGATTTCCAAAGTGGAGGCTACGTGATGGTCTGAAGCGCCACTTAAACTCATCGTCACAAGCTTTCACCTTTGTGTGAAAGTTCAAAGCGAATAATGAAAACTGTTTAAATGCTGCATGTACAGAAGCTGAGCTCTGTACCTTGAATCCAGGTGTTTGTCTTTGTAACAGCAGTTCGTGTTTCTTGAGTTCTTTCAGCACTTTGTCCGGCTGAATGCTGAAACCTGTCGTCATCTGTTGTAGGAATTAGTCTAGAAGAATAGAAACGGGTCAGAACCTGACATTGTGTTATGTTTGTGCCTCTAAACCCAGCAGTACTGTGTGATGGGGTCGTCTTGAGGATGGAGCTGCTCACATGTCATTGCACTGATACCTCAGAAACACTCAATAAACCTCTTACTTCTAATTCTCTTCTTTTCTCAGAGAATGTTGTGATTTAAGTGCAAAACTGAAATCTTCGACATTTCAAAGCCACAATGCTCAGAGTTCTGTTGAACTCCGGAGTTCTGATGAACTCCAGACTTCTGTCACTGCTGTTTTGGGTGAGGGTTACTTGCACTTTTGAGCCACTTGCAGGTGACACCTGAAGGCTGTTCATTTGCTTTGAAAGCAGACAGCAGATGTGGACAGTCTCCCTTTATACTGCAATGCAAGAGTTACGCCAAAGTCTGTGCAGTAGGTGAACACGGCACAGGATTTCCTGACATGTCAGAATTTGCTGCTGTGTTCGGGCCCCGTGGACGAAGGCAGGCTCAGATCAGAGGACCTCCAGAGTCTGACAGTGACGACTTCAGTTACAAATGTTTGATGATGAGTTATGGAGCTGTGGAGGACTGAGAATCATAAAGAGCATTTGTTTTGAGCTCCATTTGTCTTCCTTGCAGACGTGTAGCTGTCTGGGCATGTCGGCCACAGATTTGGGGCTCTGATGGTGAAATGATGTCACATGACCCTCGCAGACACACAGATGTGGAGAGCATGAGTTGGCCTTTACGTAGTGTCTGTGTTCTTCAGCAGAAAGAGCTGTTGGGTGAGACTTATAAGGCGAAACATACATTTTTAAAGACACCAACTGTAAGTCTTCTACAGCAAAATGGCAGCACCTGTTACTAGCCGGAGCCCTGATTGTGTTTGATACTGAAAGGTGTTTAAAGGAACCTGCTCCTACTTATATGGTGCTACCTTCAGCCTGAACATCATCCATCATCTCTACACCTTCATCCTCACCAGGGTCATGGGGGGTGGAGTCTATCCCAGCTGACTCAGGGTGAAGGCAGGTTCACCTGGACAGGTAACCAGTCTATCACAGGGCTACACTTAGAGACAGACAACCAAGCACACTCACATTCACACCTACGGACAATTTACAATCACCAATTAACCTCAGCATGTTTCTGGACTGTGGGAGGAAGCCGGAGAACCCGGAGAGAACCCACGCTGCACGGGGAGAACATGGAGACTCCACGCAGGAAGATCCCGGGTGTCCTCACCGGGACGCCAACCGGTGACCTTCTAGCTGTGAGGCCACGGTGCTAACCACTGAACCACCTGCAGCCCGACTGCAAATCAGATTAGTGTAAAATTTGTTCCCCACTTTCATGCCCCTCAGAGGAAAAATCTTTTCAGTTTCCTGGTAGTTCTCATGGAAATCAAATCTGAAACCAGCTTTTTATAATCCAGCAGAGTCTTCTTATTTTTCCTTTTGGTCACGTCAGGGCTGCTTCTTCCTGCACCAGAAAACCTTAAAGCAGGGACGAAGAAATGTTTTTCAGAGAGTACCTTCATGCTGTGCTTGTTTTCTCACAGGCAGGGACGTAGTGTTTCCAGTTTGAGGAATTTTGTAATTCTGAACCTGTTCTGAATGTACTGTTGAGCTCGTGTGTGTGTGAAGGAGAATCACAGGCTGGAAAATTTCAGTGCAACAATAATAGAAGCAAAGAAGGTTTTATGCTATGGAAAGACATGCATTCATTTTTATATCTTCAACAAGAACCCAAAGTCATATTGTGAAGTCCTTCTGAGGAGAAACATCTGCCTGATCTTTCCTCATCATCTGCAGCAGCAGCAAACACAGTGGAGCTCTGATGATGTCAGAGATTTTCAGAGCTGAAGGACTGAGAGGACTTTGCTGTGTCCCTGCAGTGATGCAGGAAGCCCTTCAATCATCTTCCCCTCAGCTGAACTCCCACTGTCCTCTGTTCTTGTTGCCTCCATTGGTCTAGTCTGCTGCTTTCGTGGCTATTCTTAGGGTTTCTTCACTCATTGACACAGTGAAATGCCTTCCTGGCCTATCACCACACTGCCTGCTAATCCCAGAATAGACAGCGGTCATTAGATGAAGTCAGTGGAGGCAGGCAGCACTTCTGTGAGGATCAGCTGTGAGCTGCCAAGCGCCTCCTTCTCTTTCCTCCGGCTAAGTCCAGACCGGCTTGTGTCCCATATGTGGTGTCAAAGGGGGAGGAGAGGACAGGAGAGGCTTCCAGACAAGCAAAACTTGAAGATACGGCCACTTGGATGCACACGTTCCTCATATTGCTTTGATAGGAGTCGGCACAGCACGCTGTCCCTGAGGTACTACTGGTACTGTTTGGAGTCTGAATGCTAAAACGTGCGGCGGATCATCTGGGATGGGCACTGACCAAGTATTTTCTGTTATGTATGTATTCACAAGGTCAGTAAAGCAGGCCTTGCAGTTGAAGCATGAGTTTTCTGTTGAGTACAGTAAAAAAAAAAAGTTTGGGCACCCCTGATCATTTTCAAGATTTTCCTTTATGAATCACTGGTTGTTCGGATCAGCAGGTTCAGTTCAACATATCCTGTAGCAGACAAACACAGTGGTATCTGAGAAGTGAAATGAAGTTTGTGGGATTTACAGAAAGTGTGCAATAACTACTTAAACAAAAGTAGGCAGGTGCATAAATTTGGGCACCCTTGTTGTTTTATTGATTTGAATACCTTTAGCACTAATTATTGGAACACAAAATGTGTGTGGTCAGCTCGTTGATCCCTGACCTACATACACAGGTGAAGCCAATCAGGAGAAAGGGTATTTAAGGTGGCCAGGTGCAAGTTGTTCTCCTCTTTGCATCTCCTCTGAAGAGTGGCAACATGGGAGCCTCAAAACAACTCAGATGACCTGAAAACAAAGATTGTTCAACATCATGGTTTAGGGGAAGGATACAACAAGCTAGCTCAGAGATTTCAGCTGTCAGTTTCCACTGTGAGGAACATAGAGAGGAACATTGTGAGGAACATAGAGAGGAACATAGAGAGGAACATAGAGAGGAAATGGAAGACCACAGGCACAGTTCTAGTTAAGGCCCGGAGTGGCAGGCCAAGAAAAAGCTCAGATAAGCAGAGGATGGTGAGAACAGTCCAACTGAACCCACAGACCAGCTCCAAAGACCTACAACATGATGTTGCTGCAGATGGTGTCACTGTGCATCGTTCAACTTTTCAGCGCACTTTGCACAAGGAGATGCTGTCTGGCAGAGTAATGCACACACATGTCACCAACAGAGTGGCTCGAGGTGGACAAGCCAGCTTCACTGTGGAATAAGGTGCTGTGGACTGATGAAACTAAAACTGAGTTATGTGGACGTAACAAGGGGCGGTATGCATGGTGGAAGAAGAACACAGCATTCCAAGACAAACACGTGCTCCCCACAGTAACATGTGCTGCTGGTGCCATCATGCTGTGGGGTGTGTGTCCAGTGCAGCTACTGGCAATCCTGTTAAAGCTGAAGGTCTCATGGATTCCAGTCAGCATCAGCAGATTCTTGCAAACAATGTTCAAGAATCAGTGACAAAGTTGAAGTTGCGCCGGGGCTGGATACTTCAACAAGACAACCACCCTAAACACTGCTCAGATTCTACGAAGGCATTCATGCAGAAGAACAAGTCCAACGCTGTGGAACGTCCATCTCAGTCCCCACACCTGGATGTTATTGAACATCTGTGGTGTGATTTAAAGCGGGCTGTCCATGCTCGAAACCATCAAACCTGACTGAACTGGAGATGTTTTGTGAAGAAGAATGGTCCAAAATACCTTCAACCAGAATCCAGACCCTCATTGGAAGCTATAGGAAGCGTTTAGAGGCTGTTATTTCTGCTAAAGGAGGATCTACTAAATACTGATGTCATTTTTCTGTTGGGGTGCCCAAATTTATGCACCTGCCTACTTTTGTTTAAGTAATTATTGCACACTTTCTGTAAATCCTATAAACTTCATTTCACTTCTCAGATATCACTGTGTTTGCCTGCTATATGATATATTGAACTGAACCTGCTGATCCGAACAACCAATGATTTATAAAGGAAAAGGGGAGCCCAAACTTTTTCATACGACTGTGTGTTTGTACGGTGCATAACCAGAACCGGACTAATGGAACCAATCAGGAGACGTCATAGACAGTCTGGCTGTGACCTTAGATTTTCCTGTAATATGTTGAGTTCCCTCGTTCTGGGCCTGCGTGGAATCGGCAGCTTTCAGCACTGATGGAAGCAACAGTTAGATTTTAGCACTTGAAGCTCTAAAATATCAGAAATTTAAAAAAACAAAAACAAAAAAAAAGGCTCATTGTGACTTAAAAAGATAAACGAGCAGTTTGAAGACATCACCTTCGGGTGTTTGCCTGCCCGTACCGGATCAGAACATATTTACTCATCAGTGGTTTAAACAGAGAACGACAGATGATCGTCACACTGATGACAAACATAAAGGAACGTTCAAGAGGAAACCTGCATTAAACTGCCAAAGTCTCCAGATCAATACAGCCCTCTGAAACGTCCGTGACTGCAAACGCAGAGGAGATACTGACGCTGGAAGAACTTCAGAGCAGAAGCCTGAAAGCCCTGCAGTCCTGTGCCAAAGCTCAGACTTGCACCACATGAGAAAAGCTTTTCATCAGCGAGTCACAGCCAAACCTCATTCAGCAAAATCACATCTGTGAGGAAGAAAACCTCCAGATTTGCATGTAGATGTTCGGCTTTGAGACCAAATAAGATTTGCAGCCAAAGGCGTAATAACTGAATATTGTTCTGAGATGAATCTGTGGGTTTTTGTTCTGCGATACGAAGTGCAGGTTCCTGGTAGCAGTCACTAGTGAGGCCACGGGTACACGTCTTCATTTGGTTGCTCTGTGGGGTGTGCAGGCCAGTTCTGCTAATAACGTAAATCACCAACGGCAGTCTGTTAGATGATGCTGCTATCAAGCTCTGTGACTGACTACATGTCAAAATTAGATACAAATGAAGTGTTCATGTATGAACATGACGTCCGTGTCCACCTGATCAACTTTATTGATACAGTTTATTAAATGAGTCTGTTTAATGGTGCGACAGCGTGGAGCGCTGATGGACGTGCACATCTATACACAGCTGAATAAAGCTGCCATGTCTTGGTAAAAAGT